GTCCTGCGTGAACTACTGCCACATTTCTGCTGGGCCGTCCCACGTGAAGGACACGTGTGCGGTAGGCACCAAAGCCAGGGCTGGAGATGGTGTTGAGTGCTCGTCATTCTGGAAGCCAAAAGTCAGCCTCGGCGCAGGGCTGCCTCTGTCAAGGCTCCATCCAGTGGCCTTTGCTGGCCTGGCCGGCCATTCCCTTGTCCCTCTGTGTTCAGATGTCTCCTACGCAGCACCGGCTCATGCCCCAGCCTCCTGCTGTCACCTACCGAGCCCCACCTCCCGATGAGGCCACGTGCAGATACAGTTCAGGCTGTGCCGTGTCGATGCACCGGGCGTGTGGCGGGCCCTCTTTGGGTAGGTGGGGTGTGAGCCCCAGGGCAGGTCTTGCAGGGGGAAGGGCAGGCTTCGGGAGCTCGTCCTGGGCTGTTCCCGCTGCCCAGACTCTCCCCGTGGCCAGCCGAGAGAAGCAGTCCCTGAGCAGTGGGGCGGCCCTCCCTGCAGCCAGCGGCCCTGGGTCTGCCCAGCAGCCCTTCAGCAGGTGTCAGCAGGGATGGGCGACACTTAGATGTTGACCCGAGGCCCCAAGGACTCTCCCCGAGGGCCAGGCTCACGCTGGCGTCATGCTGGAACAGTTCTGTGGCCTCACAGAGCACACGCATGTACACACAGGCATGGTCGCACACGGACATGAGTGCCTGCAGGCCTCCTGCTCAGCCCGCCCCAGGAGCCCTCCTAGAGCAGCTATGCGGCCTGCCGCGGGTCACAGCTGTGTGAGGGGCTGCGTTGCTCTCGGGCCACAGTGACAGAGCGGCTTCCGGACCCCGTTGGGACCCCTCTCGCCCTCACGTCAGCCTCACGGCAGGCAGGCGAGGCCCGGCTGGCTCCCAAAACCTGCCGAGCGCCTAGCACGGGACAGGCCTGGTTCTGTCCCACGTCTGGGCTTGCTGGTCCAGCAGGAGGCACCATCGGCAGAGCAAGCCCACCCAGGCCACGAGGCGTGTGTTTCTCGGCATATTCCAAAGAAGCCGTGCATGGGTTCCAAAAGTTCTGTACCAAGATACACCCTAACTTCTTTTAATCTTTTTTTTTTTTTTGGAGAGAGATTTTTGCTATAGGGCACGTGTACTCACCAGAGAGACAAAGCAAGAAATCACTCCGCAGGGGGAATGGCCATGCCACAGTCCTCTCTCCTCCATTCTCCTCTCAGGATCTTGGGCACACACACACACGCGCCCGGCATGAATTTAAGCCTCTGGGTCCAGGATATGAACCGCAGTCCACTATGTGGGGGTACAGTGACATAGCCATTATGCCTTCTAATCTTTATTCATCTTGTTCACGACAGCAAGTAGGCACAAGGGGGACAGCCAGGAGAGGGGCAGTCCACTGCTGCCCCTTCCCAGCCCCCAGCTCGTAGGGCCTCAGGCACAGGCACCAGCCCAGCGGGTGTCCCGCCGCCCGGCCGAGCCTGTGGACAGCCATGTGCTCTCTGGGTCTGCAGTTCGGTTTACCAGCTACACCGCCAGGCTGGGCTCACTGGGGAGAGACAGAGAAAGGGGGAAAGTGAGAAGGGAGAAATCCCGCCCCAGGGGCATGGCCACGCCAGCCACAATCCCTTCATCATTCAGGACTTTGGGCACACGTACACATGAGCTGGTGTGACTTCAAGCTGCCAGATCTGGGATTCATACTGCTCACTCGGCCACATGTGATCCAACCCTCTTACCCTCCATACCATCTGCTGGCCTTAAATGCATCCTTCATTTCCACACCTCCACACACATGCACACATACATCTGAACGCGACCACACACGTAAAGCAAACCTAGACAGCATATACAGGGACAGGACAGGAGGACAGCAGGAGTGGAACGGTCGCACTCCCCACCCTGTAATCTGACCTGCGGCTCCCACTTGAAAACTGCTCCTTGGGCAACTGGTAAGGGCAGGTCAGAGGCCCGGACTGTCTGGCCCACGCTCAGCGGTCACCCTTGAGGTCATGGATGCTGAGGGGGTACTGACAGCTCCCCTCTGGTCTAGGAGGCGCCGTTCTGTTCTGGGGGGCTGGAGGGAAGCGAGCTCCACACAGCAGGAGGGCTGTGGGCTCAGCCCTCCAAGCAGAGCCAGTATTGCAGGCAGCCTGGGCCCCGTGGGGATGGGGCAGAGGCTGGTTCTCCCTGCGGGTTCTGCTCTGGTCGCGGTGGGGGGGGGGGAAGGGAGCCCGCACCAAGAGGAGGACAGTCTGAGAAGGGGGTGAGGACCTCACACTCCCTGGGGGCTGTCCTGGCAGCCCCAGGAAGGGCACTCAGGGACCCTCGGGCTCTGGGGAAGTCCCAGGCTTCTCCACAGGGTACTAGGGGCCCCTCTAATGTGGACATCTCACTGGGATGAGGGACAGAGGTTCAAGGTTTGGCTGGTGGCCCCGGGTGGGAGGGTGGGTGAGGAAGCAGTGGGGCGGGGCTTGTGCAGCTGCGTCTCTGGGTGGGAAGAGACTATAGACAGCCCCCACCAGGCCGAGGGAC